ACACTGTCTAAAATACAGCACAAGTATAATGCATAATCTCCATCCGATGCGATACAACCTTGAGGAACTCGTTATGGCATTAGAAAAAAAGAAAAACATTTGTAGTGTTGGTAGAAAAATACATGAAGCGACAAATCTAAATAATTCATTTTGTAAGTAGACTTAAAAAATACAATGAAATAAAAAATAAAAGCCCTAAACTAATTTCCAGTATCAACAGCACCGACATTTTCAATCAATATGCACGTTTTTCTTCATTGAGTGGCGATAATAATAAAAAATAACAGCTGAGAATATGTAAAAGAGTAATAAAAGGAAACATTCAAACTTCATTTCAATCTGATTGGGTCACGTTTTAGTGGCATTACGCAACCAGGAATTCACCGCTGTGTCATGATAAACAACGAGTCTGCAATCTGGCATTATTGATTGGTTTTAATGGACAGCCATCAGTCCTGTGGTTTTTGTTGTTTTTGTGTTTTTGATGTCAAAAAAACAAAAAAACAAAACACGCCCTCAGATTTCCTGTCAGTGACTCTTTTTACATGAACACCAGATTCATTTGTTTTTTTAAGTTCTGTTCAATCCTCAAATCCCAAGTCAGGTTTGGTTTTCCATATTAACTGAAACATATCCATTTCACAGTAACCAGTACAATAAGGTGTACTATATATGCAGTGTAACGACACCTCTCTATATACATCAAACGCCTTTTCGGTTTCCTGATTCATGTGGTACATGTTACATAGCTCTCAAAAAAAATGCTGACTCAGAAAAATTCCTAACATGTTTCAAACTAGTCACATGTGAGTGTGTCAGAGCTCAATTTAAAAGGTTAAAAAAAAATGAAAGCGTGGAAAATCAAATGATTTTGGTGACCTATGAGAGGAGGAAACCTTCCAGGAATAGGAACTCTGGAGTAAAAGGCGCTTCTGTTCAAAAAAACAACAACAACCTGTTGTGTTCCTGTACAGGTGCTCTTTGAATCTATTAAGAGGAAGTCACTGACACCATTTATGGTTTCATTTTTTCCATGATCTGGCAAACATGCAAAAGGGCACATTAAATACAGGACTTCAGGTGTGTGGTGTACACACAGAACTTACTGCTGTCCAATACTACACTTCATTTGGTGGTACTGCTGTCACAGAAACTGAGGAGCAGGAGGTAAACGAGTTTGAGTCATGATCAGAGAATATATCTGTGAGAAAATCATCTCGTAAAGTCTGCATGTGAATGTTAAAAGAGACTATTACTGCTGGTTTGTATCGGGAGGGTGGTGGTGGCCGTGCAGTGGTCACAGCAATGCAAAATGTTTGGGTGCATCATTGTCTGATGTGATAGGACGGAACAACAAACCCTGTTTGTCACTTTCCCAAAAGGCGACAGGTCTGTGTTATCAACCTGAGACACACTGGAATTAAGTTTCCTATCAGAGCAATCAGACCTCAGAGCATGTCTGCTACGCACTGCTATAAACTGAAGAAAGCTGGTTTAGCTCACTCATTTAGCTGGAATCCTTTATGATGATTGGTTTCTACTTTTAAAAATTTCATAATACAAATATGACTGGAAAGGTACAACAGATGATCTGGATGCAGTAGCCTTTTACACCCACGGGCGCTATCTACACTCACAGAGTGAAATAACACGATGGTCTATCACATGCAGCTGCAGTACTCGCAAACTGATTCCCAAAAACCTTTATTCTGCTGTCACACTCCAAGTGCTGGGCACAGTAAACTCAGCTCCTTTTGTGCCTCTTCATTCTGAAGGTAAAACATATGATACTGAATGAGTAACACCTTCAAACAGTTAAATATCTTGGTTTAATTTGCATATTACAGCAGGCTATGATTAGGGATGGGTATCGAAAACCGGTTCTTTTTGATATCTGGTTCCCACTGTTTCAATTCCTTGGAATTGTTTGCCATTTTCGCAAACGATTCTCGTATCGATTCCAGTCGACAACTTTTCTCCATGCCCCTGGTACACTGCTGAATGACGTCACCACGTTGCGGAGCGTCATTTACCTGGCAGGAAACACGGCGCCTAAGCGGCTCAAACGCTACAAAGTTTGGT